TACCATGTGACCTATCTCTATATATGGGGGCTAATCAATTTTACAGCCCCAACAGATATCCCCCACAAGATGTAGAACATATGAAAAATAAAATACATTACAAATACATTGAAAATGTCATTTTACAATGTAGTTTCTGAAAGAAAAAATAAATTCACAAAATAGAGGATATGACGAAGCCTGTAAATTGGGCCTGTAAAGAAAGGAAAAACAGTTCAACATAAAAGATGCTTGGGATATTGAACACAACAACAGGATCTTGTCATTGTCTGTTTTGGGAATTTTGTAACAATTGAGAATATCCTTGTAACTCGGAAGATATCCATGTTCAGGGTTTGTTGTATTTTTACTGATTTAGATACTGTTTAAAATACATTAATTCAGGAAAAATAGTTGATTTTAAAATTGGAGATTATTTTCTGAACAACCTAATAACAACAAAGATGAGAACAACTTCAAAAAGGATTGACTTTTATTCACTCATATGATTCATAGTATTATAAATGGCAGATCAATTTTACATTAAATAAAAAAATTAATCCTTCTCACATAACTAAATATTTGCTATAATCGTTTTGTCCATTAATCTCTTGCTAAAGTCATTTTCCAGTTAATTGTCAGTTACAGTAATTGAAAGGTTGTAATTGTCATTTTAGAACCAGTCATTTTATCTATAAAAATCAATATTGACCTCTCTCTTTCTCTCTCTCTCAGTGTTAAAAAGAAAGAATAAGAGAAGGGACTCCTAAATCTTTCATCCCCCTCTTTTAGAGATGCTTGTGGGAGAATGAAAATTAAATAATAAATAGAATATATAATAAATATATTAAAAAGAAAAAAATAATTTCATTTTCCCATAATGCAAATGTAAAACCAAAAAAAAGGATTTCCAGTCAAGTGCAAAGTTTGTGACTCCATTTCCAGAAAGGAGATCGTCTTTCTCTTGATACTTTTGAATCATTGGATTCGGACATGTTTTGTAGCGATCCTAAAGGAAAGGAGATTCAGTCACCCTTTCTCAATGTCATTTTGACTTGAGGTTGACCACTCTCTTATCACACACATATGTCAATAAAAATTGACCCTTAATTTTCCAACCAAATTTTTGTGTTATTTATTGTGGTCTAATGACATTAACATCTTCTGCTAGTGGGTGAAAAACAATACAAACCCTCCACATGCTTACAAGAAAAAAAACAAAAACTAAAGTCTTGCTCAAGGTGAAATTTGCAAAGAAGCAAATAATTATTAAGAATGACAAAAAATATTTTATTAAGCTATATAAATATATTCAGTAGCCTTCAGAAGTGAGGGACAGAGGGTGTGATGGCCCCAGATATCCATATTGGGAGGGCATCCAATCAAAGAGTGAAATAAAAATTTAGTTTAGTTGCATAATGCATTTTAGATGCATCAAGGGTGGTCTTCAGTGATGCACTGTCCTCATCGCCGATTTGGGGTTTTGCATCATATCGGCTCAAACAGCAACTCTGACCTTACTCTGAATGAGTCAGGCCACCTCCTTGAAAGCATTGTTCTATGCACTTCAACATTGCAAAAAAAAAAAAAATTCTGACATAGCTAAGAGTCTGACCATTCTTACTGACATTCATCGGTCAGGGTCAGCCAATGAAAAAAAGGTTTTCATGCTCTCCTCCTACATACTGGTGTGTTTTTACTTCATCAAATTTGGATTTGAGCTACTTCCAGTGGATTCCTAACTCAATAAGCTGGTCTCTTTCTTGCATAGTTTAATGCAAATGTTTTATCACTATATATATATATATATATATATATATATATATATATATATATATATATATATATATTTTTATTAAAATAGATTCTATAATTTTTATGCAATTCCAACATTTTAATTATTTCTTCTGATACAATTTTAATATTATCTTTTTATTAAAAACAATTTAAGAAAAATATAGAAAAGATAATGGTTAACCCAGTGGTTCCCAAATGATTGTGGTCCAGACCCCACTTTGGTATTTACTAAAATTCTGGTGACCCCTGTAATATTTAATTCTTACATATTCAAAATTTTACTGCAATTCATGTAAAGGGAGCTAAAAAGGCCATCAACTTGGTCTCTAAACAAACCTCCAAAGAACATGGCATCCATGAAAGAGAAAAATTAAAAAAACAACAAAAAACAGTATATATATATTGTTTCAAAACATATAATAGAGAACTGAAAGGTAGAAATCTAAAATATTTGAATGAAAGTTTATCCTGTAATATACTTTGATTATTTTAATCATTAAATAATAATGCAAAATTAAATTTGAGTTCACTAGAAAATTTTAGTATGAATTTCTGGGATAAGGAGTTATCATTATTTACACTATTTATATTCGGACTATTGTCCTCATCTTTGTTGTTGCTATCAACGTTTCGACCGTTATGTCCTCCGGCCTTCATCAGGTGTATATTGACCTGGGTAACCTACATGGAATGAATTTCTGGGATAAGGAGTTATTTTCCTATTGTCTTTTACCTTTACTCAGTTAAATATATATAGTTTCAAAACATATAATAGAGAACTGAAAGGTAGAAATATAAAATATTTGAATGAAAGTTTATTCTCTAATATACTTTGATTATTTTAATCATGAAATAATAATGCAAAATTAAATTTGAGCTCATGTTTATATAGTAAGCTGAAGGGTGTACATTCTATGCATGCCTACCAAAATATCACCATGACCTACTGGTAGGGCCATGCACCCTACGTTGAGAATCACTGGGTTGACCGTAGACTTAAAGAAGTTAAAATTGTAGTTATCAGGAAAAGCTCCTGTTGGGAGTTTGTTCCACAAAGTAACCGTTTTAAGGAAGAATCTATCCGAGTGGAACTTCTTTCTTACTAATGGAATATTTGTGCATGTGGACTGGTGGGTCCCAGCTGTAAAAATCAAGGCTAGTGGAACTAAGGAATGTAGCTCATCAGAACACTTGCCATGTGTTGTATTTTTTTATTCTACAACACCTGAGCAGTAGTCAACTTCTTTTTATAATTTCTTCTCCAATTGTT